TTTCTTTCTTTCTCTCTCTCTCTCTCTCTCTCTCTCTCTCTCTCTCTCTCTCTCTTTCTCTCATCAATTAGGAAGTAGACAAACGTGTGCGGAGCGTTTCGACTGACCCAAGCGATCTATCTGTGGCCAGCATAATTGAGAAAAAACGTATACGCGGCCCTCGTAAATGTTCGCGATCCTTGTATTTTCCTCTTAACGACTAAACATTCGAATGAAGATTGAAATAACACACGAAGAAACTGGAGCATGCAAATTCGAACGTGCGCGTGTGTGCGTATGTATATACGTATGTATGTATGTATGTACGTATGTAATGTATACGTGTAAGGTGCGTGTCTACTACAAGCTGTTCTTTGTAAAGATGCGATAACACGAATGTGTCCCCAGAGCACATCCGTTTCTTTTTAGCGAAGAAAGTCATTTCTCTCTTCAGAAAGAAATAGACTAGGAAGGCTCGTGTCTTCTTTTTCCAAACTGTCTTAAATCCATAGAGATTACACATTATAAAGCTGTGGAAATTATTATATTTCAGTATTATAAAACTTTCCGCAGCTTTATCACAATTATTGTAACTCTTTAATGTAAAATTTATATATTTTTTTTTTAAAAAAAAGGATGTAATACAATTTGAAAAGCTCTTCCACTCGCGGCTTAGAGAATTGACAGTTAGAAATTTATTATTTTAAGTGCGGTGAAATTTTTGTTCCTCAAATATTTAATTTAAGGAATCAATGGATCATCAAGATCTGACATCGCAATTCAGTGTGTAATGAGAAACAAAACGAACAGATTACACCCCTGCTAAAAATGCAAATTTTGGACCTTTAATTTTTTTAACAGAGCTCTATATCTAATCTAAAGCGTATTATATATGTATGCCTGTGTTGCTCGAACAGAAGTTCGTGGTGTGTCCGGAAAGAGTAAACCAATAAAATGGAAAGAAAATAGATAGTATCGATCGCGGGAAGTAGATAGAATCTTATTGTGGAAGTACAAAACTGGAAGAGTAGAAAAAGACTAGGGATAGTTAAAAGACGATCTTAGAACTTATGAAATTGTACAATGATATCGGTTAACATTGACGCTCCGTTTTAACAGGTACTTTTTTCTCTTAAAATCGATTCTTTCACATTTTGACATGAATTTAAGATTAAAATAACTAACATGTACATTGGGATAAAATTTGTATCTAAATTAATTTATGAAAATATATATCATATCTTATTATAGAGAAATGATATCTGGAATCAAAGTTTAAAATGGAAATATTTAGCAAGAATACAATCCTGCTATTTGTAGCTGAATTTTTAAATTGTTAAGCTTTAAGTAATCTTTCAAGGAAGCATTTGCGAAAAGCTGGAACTTTTTTACCTAACATTGAATTTTTTTATTTGATTTCAGACTATTGTTCCTTGTTATATTGTATAAAGAGAAATTTTTTTACGCGTTAATTGTAATCTTTTGGTTATAATAGAGATAATTGTTTTAAGACAATTATATCGAAACTTGGCTACAAAATTATACTGTTCTCCATTTTTAAACTAGAGAATATAAAGATAGTGAATTTTAAATTTTCAACTTCAATCTCGGATAAATCTGGAATATTTTTTAATACAAATAAAGGAACGCGTATTAACGCAATAATAAATGTATGCATTGTAATTAAAAATAATCAAAAAAAACCTTAAATATTAAAGTTAAACAGATTGGGAAGCCCCGGAAATACTAAGTGCAAACTTGAAAAATGATTCGTAAGTTTGTGATTCGCTGTTCGTAAATATAAGTTCGTTGACTAGATGATGTAAAGCTTTGTCACAATACATATGTAATATATGTGTCTGTTTTTAGCTCGCCCCTTAGGCCTTTAGGACAACGAAAAAGACACGTTGTGTGTACAGGTCCCATAATCATCGGATATCATAAAATCCTGGTTTCTTTTTTTTTTTAGATTCTTCCGTAGTGAAAATATCGAGATTATCATTTATTGCATTCTTAAAATTTTTGATGTTTAGATATTTTCATATAACCAAACTTCAAATAAAATTCTATTAAAGTCTATTCTTGAGAATTAAAAATATATTTTTTCAAAGAAGATAATAGATAGTATTGATTTGTTCATATTACTTTTTATTCTTTGAAATTTGATTCACCAATTTTTCTTTTAATTTTCAAAAAAGGACTCGATATTTTCATCTACAAGAAAAATCAGTTCCAAAGCAGCCAAGGAATTTATAAGAGGTGTCTGAGAAAAACAATCGACAGTTGTGGCATACCCTGTCTGTTATGTAATTTAACGTGTAATACGTGTATATGTGTATATGGGTAAATGCGCCCCGTGTTGTGCTCCATAACGAGAATCTCAAAATGCTGTGCCGGAAGGATCATCGAGGCGCCTACATAGCATGAGAATGAGTAAATCGAAGATAAAAGATTGGAAAAAGACGTATGCACGGCGTAACAATTATAGTATATAATTAGAAAAGCGAAAAATGGATCAGCGATATTACCCTCTCTCTTTCACTCGCTTTTTCTCAGTCATTCGCACTCTTTTTTCTCTCGAATTCTCTTGCGAACCAGCTACGAGCCGGTAAAATTGCGGCTAGAAATAAATATTTTCACCCACTATTCACCTTCTCGGACGAGTGCATTTGCACAACGAGCCTACGACTGTAAATTGCGGTCAACATTTTGCGGAGAAATTTGTTCATATTAATTATCTATTAACTTAAGTAACACATTATCCACGGATCGTATAAAATTATGCGTTATGATATACATTTCAGAATCACCGAATGTTCTCTCAACTTCATTAATACACACAATCTATTTGATTTTTCTTTCTTAATGAAAAATCAAGAGAGATTATTATTCCATACGTACTTTTTCAATTTGAAATATATATTTTTATAATTAAATTTTAAATAAAAATTTTAATGGAATCTATTTGAGTTAATTGAAGATGATTTTTTTTTCAATTATTTTCTCTGACATTTAATTCGGAGAAAAAAATTATCATTGGAAAGATCATCTTCTTATTTTTTTAGAAATTATATGAGTTGTTTTATTATTATTTCAACGATAAAAGACAAAAGATTCCAGATTATCGAAAAATTTGTAACAAAGAAAACATTCAAAATGTTTCGCGTATTTTATGTTTTATGTTCATATTGTTATGAGATATAATTTTTTATCCCTAAAAATTGCAATTCTATTTGTATACTTCTATTGCAGTTCTATTGCAGTTTGTATATTTTAATTGACTTATATATATTTGTATACAATGTTATTGTATATATCTTCAAATTGTTTTCAGATATTTTTCAATATTTTATGATGGAATTAAATGGACATAATCGCATTAAAATTAAAACGTCCGTTGACAATGTGTTACAAGTTCAACGTTAAAATAATATTTAAATGTTACAATTATTATTTGAATATTAACAATAATGGTCTTTTCTAGACGATGAAAGTAAGTGCTCTAGTTTTTCAGTACAAGGATCGTAACATAATATTGTTCTTCGAATAAATAATTAAATGCGTGTGTAAATAAGTAACCATTTGCAAAGTAACACTCCTATATAAAAGATATAGAAATTCTTGCGTGTGGAATAAAAATATCAATGCAATTAATTGCCCCATAATGGAGAAAACTTCCTTTCCAAACTGTCTTAAATGTATACTTCTGAAGAATAGAATACTACGGAATGCTTTTAATACACTTTAATACACTTTTGTAACACAGCCTGCAATATATTCTTCTTTTTAAATAGTATACGTTTAAGATAGTTTGAAAATAAGATGTTCAATTACTGAATGGAATCCGAGTACTAAAAATCGCTGATTTTACAACAATTTTACATAATGCGATGGATATCTTCGGTTCGTCGATTTTGTAGATTACATAATTAAACGACGTAGAGTTTAACACAAGAACAGAAAATGTCACGGTAACAGTGATTTCATAATAATCGCGTTGGAAAAACATGTTAAACTCGCTGTTCATAATACATCTAACTTGTTTCTTTCTCCACGTGATAAAGTAATTTGTGCAAACAGATTTGCATGCCTTTTAATGTTATCTGTAATCGTATGCCGCAAGTGCGAAATATCGTTATAGAAATATGCGCGCCACGAGCTGGATGATTTCCGGTTAAAAAGGCTTATCCTGCAAGCAATTTTCCTCGGCGACACAGAAATGCCATTATAAAAGAATCTCGCGCTCTCTATCTCGCTCTCTTTCTCTCTCGCCTAATCACACACGTAAAACTGTGCGTTGAGATGAAAACTTAAGTAACGTCAGACGCTTTAGAAGGAAACCAACGTCGGGTGCAACGTACGCAAGCATGCCTATACGATTTTGCATAACCGCATGCGCGAATATATTGAGTTAATGCGGAAGTTTTGCCATGTATTTCTTATCAGTCCTATAAACTCTTCGACATCTCTAAAATTATCACTTACAAATGCTACAACGCTACAACGCAATTCCCTAATTCCAATACGTTTAGTGGACATTTCTAGGAGTCTCTGCCTGTAAAATTTAGAAAAGCCACTTCCCGAAACTGCCTAAGATATAAGAAAATCGCGGCATAACATCCGAATTAACTTGAAATCAACTGTAATAATAACTTTTGCGAGAACTCTAAGATGATTGTATTCTGGAAAATATTTTTACTTGTTCTTACGTCTCTCTCTCTCTCTCTCTCTCTCTCTCTCTCTCTCTCTCTCTCTCTCTCTCTCTCTCTATCCCTCATAGTAATTTCTAATTGCTAACTAACGACACCAATGGACGAAACAATTGACGAGCGTTCCCCTAAGAGAAATGTCATCGCTTTTTTGTTGAAATATCTATTTTCATTAATTTATCGATTTATTATTTCTAAGAACACACGTTCCTTGCCCTCCTTGATATGCTCGAAACGCGGCCTTCAATTTTAACATGAAATACTTTCAAAATTGCCTTGCCTATGTCCCTTTTTATTTCTTTTCTCTCTCTCTTTCTCTCTTTCTCTCTCTGTTATCTTAAAGAAGTCACAATCTCGTTATCTATGAATCGTATGATCAGAGAAGAAGTTGCTCGATTTACTTTTGAATTTCAAGAAAATTGAGAAAATTTCTTCGTGGCGATTTACAATACATAAATCTCTCATTTCTACTTAAATTTTTCAATAAAAATTTTCAAATGCTTACAATCTTAATTTTATTTTTATGATCTTCGAATCTTCACATGTCTTTATTTTATAAATCTGCATCCTGAACTTTTGCATTTTTAAAGACTCGATTATAGGAACTTTACACTTAATTTTATTTGCACTTTGAAACGATAGTATTATATAAAAAAGATAACAAAATCGATACATTTTGCAAACTTCTTCCCTGATCGTGTTCTTACATTTTTCACATATTGTCAGAACATAGAAATCCAAACAATCCGAATTAAAGGTGTTTACTATCGTGTATTGGTATTAAAAAAAATTCAGAATATAGTATTTTATTCTCAATTTACTTTTTTCAATTTATTCAATTGATGAAAAAAACTATTAATGAGCACATATCTTTAAAAAATTATCAAGTATGCTAGACAGCACAAAACATTCTGGCAATATTACAGAAATGTCGCAACGTTGTTGCAATATTGTCGAAATGTTCTGTGCTATGAGAAATTATTTGCAAAAACGAATCATGAGATAGTATAATTTATCATAATGACAATAGCGATTTTATCGTCATCTTTCAATGTACAATTTGTATTTATATATACACATTTTCAATGCATCAGACATATTTGTAATTTGACAATTACATATTTGTAATTTTATAATGCGCGTTTTGTATTCCATACGATATCTGACGATACATATTCCAACATATAATCGTGTCCTTCTCTTTCAACGATACATTCTTCGAAGACATATCAATTGTTTTTTTTATATATATCGCGTAATATCCTGCGCAATAAAAGCGTCTCGTTTTTCACGTAATAAATGTACAACCCAATTTTGTTATTCTCTTTCGGTGTTAAAACTTGTCATTAATTTTTACATTTTTATCGCATTCTCTCTCTCTCTTCTCTTCTCTCTCTCTTTCTCTCCTTCGAGGCACACTATCTTCGCTAACGACTGACGTTAGATTCGAAGCTCTCACGACCGAGGGAGGGTACAAAATGAACGAATATTCAGTCTATGTCGATCACATCCGTATTTTCCGCTGATCCCTTTCGCTGTCGCAATTTCCGGCGCAGCAGGACCGATTTAAGGATACTGGACGACCTTGGACCCGCGACATCCGGCCGCGGGAAATTCTGCTACGCCGCTTTGTGCCTCTTTCTTTGTTCTCTTCTCGCCGTGCTCGAACCGGGACTGCCCGAGGTACCGCCTTTCTCGCAATCCGCTGTCGGCACGGGTTTCAGTTCTCTGTAAAAGGACACGCATTGAAGGAGATTCCCTTTGCAACTGTTCGCAAATTCAAAAACGTCAAGCGGTATAAAGATGTCAGTTACATCGCAAAGATATAACGATTTATGAAGATTATATATCGCTGCATATTTAAAAATATATGTACTATGTATTTAATATATTTCAAATATACACATGTACATTTCTTCTCTTTTTCTAAAAAAAATAGCAGAATCATACGAAAATTACTTGATTTTCCAAAAGAAATCTGGAAGCGTTAGAATTTCAAATTATATTTATAAATTTCATTTTCGGGTGCAAATTCAATTAATTTAAAATTTATATGTAAATCTTGCGCACGTTTATCACATTTACAGTTTCCATAAAAAAATACATTCTTTCCGTTTTAATGTGATTTATTAATGTGTTCTGTTGCTATTCTTCAACAAAAATTAATTTAAGAGCATTCTTTATTTCACGACATTTACAAAACTTATTTTCCTAGTTACAATAATACAGATGAGCGAAGATTGATCATTTATTCGATTTATTTCCTTTTTATTGCACAAAGGTATTAAGATACAACAACAAATCAAGTTGAATTTATGGCATAGTTAATCATTGTAATGAAACCAAAGGTACCAAATCGTGTTACACTCGAGTTTCTCGAAACATTTTCACGAACGTTTTATATCTATAAGCGAAAGAATCCAATTAATCTCAACAATGATATGCACGTTGATTGTACGTTATCGTTAATTACCCACCTATAATTAAGCAACTCTTCGTCGTCAGGCACTCTGGATATAAGATCGAGGAGCTCGTTGTTGGGTACGGAGTGAGGCCTGAGGATTTTCCTAGAGAACTTATTGACTCCCCAGGCGAGGATTAAATACCGGACAGGAATGAAATAGAGCACGACCGCCCCGGCGATCGCCAGAATCATCGCCAGGTAGCTTAAATAGGGGATCGTGAAATTGAAGAGATTCTTCACCTTCTCGCAAAGGCTGGCTATGTAACCGATCGAGTTTTGAACTGTCTGCGTCACTTCTTGAATCGCCTGTAAACGCTCCTTCAGACTTTTCTTTTCCTCCTGAAAGATCGTGCCATTATTAATTTTAATGGGTGAAATATTCGAATTTGCTGGATTTGTTGTATCTAAAAGGCATGTCAACTTTTGAAATGTCATTTAGATCTCTCTTACCCAGTCAGCGAACTCTAATGTGAGTAGTTCCTGCAAAATGTCTGCCAGAAATATTGTCGACAGAAGGTCTACAGATTGGGTATGGCTACAGGAACTGGCATATATGGCATGGTTGTTGGTGGGATGCTGGCAGAAATATAGCAAAGTTGTCAACAAAATATGATGGCAGATTGATGGCAGAAGTCAAGCAGACTTTGATAGGCCTGCTGCATAATCTGATTGTAGCAGATTGGAGACATAAACAAGTAGGATCTGTGTTGAACAGATTCTGCTCGTTTTCTGCAACCATTCTGCCGGTGAAATACGAGCTTAATACAGACACAGATGTCAATTTGCTAGCAATTTCTAATCGAATTTGCTGCCAATCTGCTGGCATACTGTAGACAGTTTGCTTATTGGGAGCTTTTCCGATTCCCAGACATTTAACATAAAAAAACTATATTGAAAAATAAATTCGATGATTACAAAAATAAAAATAAATACATTAAAAATTAACAAATAAAATAAAAAAATAAAATAAAAATACAAAGCAAAAAAATATAATGACACAGATATATGTAAAATTTAAAAATTCTGTATACAAATGAGACCGATAAAAAAATTAATAACAATTAAATATTGAAAATATATAATTAATTATATTAATTATATAATTTGAATATTTAATTACGAAACTAATAATTATTTCTCTATGTTTGATTGAATAAGTTTTATACACTATAATATCTGTATCTAAATATTCTTATCTAAATTCTTATCTAACTCAATGCAAAGATATCGTTAAACTTGTATGACGAAACTGCGCTGTTGCTTTGTAAAGATAATATCTTCATCCGGGCATTATTGTGATACGCAGAGCGTAACGATGCATAGAGCATTGAGCGGCTGCGCTTAATTCTTAACACTTTGGCTTATTGCTAACACAAAAGAGGCTAATCAGCGCTAATTAATTTGCATAGGTCGAAGGTTATGGCGCTAAATTTATTGAATGGAGCACCATATGCGCAAGTAAAGAGTTTGCCCTCTTCGAAATCCAGCATCCAGCATCAGATTTTTTTCATCCAGCAAGACTGTTATTTTTCAGCCATATTAATGAATTAATGCAAGAAAGCATTGTAACAATAAATAATTGTAGTAAATAAAGATATTTTATGTATATTTTTGTTTCGAGGAAGAATGTGTGGTCAGTGACGATTAAATTAAACGGTCTTTTTAAAAATATAACGCTCACTTTATCTTTGTCGTCCTCGTCATCGTCGTCATCTCCCGGCGTCGGCGGACAATCGTCAGACCCGATCTCGGAGTGATCTTGAAACTGCGAAGTCGCGTAAATCAAAGGAGCGCCCGTCACCACAGCGACCTGTCCGCAAATCCAATGATTGAACCCGCTCCTCTCGCCGCTAAGCTGACAGTAGCAAAGAAATTCGACATGCAGCATTGCCAGTAAAGAAACGAAGCAGAGAAAGTGTTGCGTTTATGCAGGACGGGTCATTCCAAAATATTCAGAGCATATTATGAATGAAGAGTATAGTATGAATGAATATAGAATATAAATAAACATTGAAAATATATAAAAAGTGCCGTATTTTGTTTTATTTACAGAATATTGGAGAATTGTTCAGAGAGACTGACTAATCTTATTTTTTCATGCGAATGCATTTTTATCTTTAAAAACGATAATAACTCTGCAAATATTATTAATATTATATAATAATAATATTTAATAATATTTTTTTTCCATTTGAAAAGCTTGCTTATCTTTGGTATATAATCCGTTATATTTTCAGAGATTTCTCTGCAAATATGAAAAGAAATATATATCACTCAAAATCGTATTAGATTAAAGACGTCTACATTCAAATTTAAACGCGTTAAAAACAAAATACAGCAAGATTAAGCATTACGGACATGTACAATTTATTCACGTTTAATAATAAATGCTGTTTGTAATAAAAATGCTTTTCATAATATTATAAAATTTTTCTCTACAAAATAATATTGCAAATATAGGACATTCTACATAGGAGATTCTAGAATGAAATTCTCAAATAACGTGTAAATATTTGAGAAATGTATGCTTTATCCACTGAATGATACAAACGATGTCTTATCATACATACTTATAGTCGATGGATCAGCAGGAGGCAATAGGGGGCGAAGAATAAAGACTAAAGAATTAAGAATAGTTTTTTTTTTCAATAAAGAATAGTAAGCGTTTCATAGCATGGCAATTAATAATTAGAAGGATCCAGAACGACGTACTAGCACTAAGTCAAGTTTTAATCCGTAGGCATAGAGAATCTCGAGAATGTTGGATTTTAAAGGCTCTAAATTTCATAAAAAAGAATGCATTACGTAGCGTGTAAAAAAGTGCACTTGATAGCAATTGACCTCAAAGGCCAATAATCAATCGTTTTAGTTATTCACATATATAATGCCATGATAATCGTATTAAGATACGGATACGCGAAAGAGTGCGGGATTAAAACTTTAATAAAATCAATAAGAAAAGTGACGTACCAGATAATACTTCAGAAGAATCAATAATGCCACGCCCGGTATCATATATGGCTCGAAGTAGTAACATCCAAAAATAAAAATTACCAGAGCAAAGACGCTTCTCATCTTGTTTTCCCATTCCCAGCAGCTCCTAACCGTAGGATAAAAAGCGAAAAATAGTATCAACAGTAGCAGCGACATAAACTATGTAAAATCTATGTCAGTTCAAAATTCGTTTTGCCAGAAAAAAACATAACATTTTTTAGATTATATTTTTTTCGATAGAGTATACTTGTGCTTTACTACTCATTTAGGCCAACGACTGTCTAATTAATTTTAATTCTAAAACATTTCCGATTCAGAACGGAATATTACTTTTTAAAATAATAGAATAATATATGTATGCATAATTTATTAACAAAATGTTAAATATGTTATATAATTCAAAACAATAATTTCATAACAATTGTAAAATTTTATAGAATAGAATATTACTTTTTAGGACAGTAGAATAATATATGTAGTATAATTTATTAACAAAATGTTAAAAATGTTATATAATTATTTCATAATAGTTGTAAAATTTTGTTATATCGCACGGGAGTGGGTAGATAAAAACTTATATTTTTGGAAATTTGGAGAAGTCAAGATCGCACTCACTGTATGTATTTTCCTATGTCGATGAAAATTACGATAATAGCTTTGAGCCTGAGAACGTTTCGCAGAAAGACTTGTCTTTTGAATTTCACCTCTGGCTCCATATATTTCTTTTCCTTCGGATTGAGCGTTCTAATGCACGCCCTGAATATGTTCCATATGACGGTCATCTCCAAAAGAATCTGAGGGCAGTTACCCTTCGCACGGCCCCTCAATTTCTTATCTTTCAACGCGTACCACCGTTTCTCGCCGTTGCGAATTTTTAACAACGGTATCGCTACCTTTCCAAGAAACTCCACCTTATGATCTCGATCTTCATCATATACTGTCACCTCCAGGACGGAATTGATGTCCTTTACATTGCTGTTGAAACAATTAAAAATTTACTTTCGATCAGGCTTGAATTGTGCGAATTATTTCATCATATTCTTGCGTCTGCCGTCCAACCTTCCCTACTATTTAATGCGTTTCAATAATTACGATGAAAAAATGGTTAAAAACGTTCTAATTAAGATATAACTTACAAGGTGAAAATTTTTTGCCAATTCGGCGCGAGCGTTTTATATTCCGTTTGAGTTTGCAATCTGGCATTTACGAGCTCCAGAACGCAGAAAGGGTCGCTTTTACCGCCGAGATCAGCAGCTGCAAGACCTTGCGCACGGTATACCTGTAAAAAGATGAATTAATTTAAAAGCGAATTCGTAATGTTTATTAAAAATTTTGTTCTGTCTTAATTTATTGCCGTAAAAGCTTTATAAAAGAGTTTTAAACCTTACTATTACTATATTATTGTAATTAAGAAAAAGCCAAATCTATAGAAAGATTAGTTTAATCTGATTTAGAAGTATTTTTATTAGTAATTAATAGTTTATTGATAAAAATAATTTCGCGAACCTGAATCCATTTTTAATGAAGGAAAATCGTTAACTTTTACTAGAAAGTAATTAAAACTCTATTTAAAGATAAAATAGATTTTGAATATAAATTTAATTGTGTAATTAATAATTTCTATATAACAACACATTTTAATGCATTTCGTATTGTGAGATTGATTTAAAAAGAAATTACAAAAAATTCTTTAAATTAAACAACTCCTTTAAATTGAATAATTAATTTAATATAAAATTTAATCATTTCCACATACGCTCAAAAAACCGAATATTTCTCATTCAACGATCGAATATGCTTCACTTATTCATAGAATAACAAAGGCATTCCGAAATAAGCGTATCACAATATTGAATAGGAAAGCATTCTCTCTTTCGCTACGCTTCGTGTAACAATATATTGTTTCTGAGTGCTCATAATATCGACATATATATATTATGATTTACATAGCAATGTTATTATTTCTTCATAAGTAGTTATGTTCAACAAAACATTTATTTTGCAATTATTGAAAGTTTTCTATGACTGAGATTGGATTATTTTTTTTAGATCTAGAGGAATAATCCGATCTCAGCAAAAAAAATTTTCAGCGGTAATTGTAAAATAAACCTTCTTCTGAACGCGACCAATTGTGAATCTATCTATCCTACCATCATCAGTATTATTCTATAGAGTATGAACTAGATTGGCAAACTTTGACAGCATATTCAACTTGTCGGACAAAATTCAAACAAAGACTTCCATAATTCGATAAAAACGAGCTTTCGAACCTATAAATGTATCAGAACTTCCTTCATTCTCGACGTGAGCAGAATATACCTCCAAAATTTGACAATCCATTTCGAGAGAGAGGAGGGGGGGAGGGAGAGGA